CTGCTCAGATTCTACTGACTCTTTTAAGAAACATCTTAAGACATTTTTATTCAGACAGGCTTTTAGTTAAGTGCTTTTTGTTGTGTTTTAATTGTTGTTTTTATATCTGTGATCTGTTTTATTGTTTTTGATTAGTTTTTGCTTTCTGTGAAGCACTTTGTGATGTTTGTGTCTGTGAAAGGTGCTATGGAAATAAAGTTTACTTACTTACTTACTTAATTTCCTTTTGTTTATTAAACATTTTGACCTTGACAGAGTTGGCAACAAAAGCTCTATGATTGCATAGTTTCTTTTATTACCTATTTGATTTTTTTCCAGCTGTCTAATATTTTACTTTTCTTAAAAACTATTTAAAAATAATTAAATTTGTAAGGTACAGAAGAGGATTATGGACATGATGAAAAAATAAACAATTTTTAAATTAAAAAATCCAGAATTCTGAAGTTTTCCTTAGGAGAAGAGAAACTGCTGCTCGTCAGAACACCGGTCTTTGTAAGCCTACAATACCCACAATTCCTTGGCGCCCTGGCTTGAAAAAAACGTGCTGAGGTTGATGCGAACGTTTGTTACGTAATGTAGTTTTTACGGGTGCGTACAGAAGTAAATGTTACTGTAAAATCGGAGAGTGTTGCTTAACCAGTTCCAGTCTGCGAGAGAAGTCTTCAGTGGTAAAATACAATTTCTATCAATTTAAATTTGAAATGTTCTAGCTATTTGTAATGTTTGAGACTAGCAGTGTGGTTTTTATAAGTCAAACTTTAGCTGAACACAGAGTCACGGTAACAGCTAGTCATCCGAACCGAAGTTGGACTCAGTAAAAATGAAAGTAGCCTGTAAAAAGAAGGACCTTTGAACACATACAGACCCCCCCCCCCCCGTCCTTGTTAATATAACAAAACACGTGTTTATTATGTTTTTCCAATACTCCATACAGTGCTTTGTTGTAAACATGATTGACTTGCACCAAGGCAGCCATAGTAGTAGTCAGTTATGTTGTGGTATTTGGAGTATAACTCATTTCTTTGCATGGGGTTCGTGTACCATTTTCCCCCATTATTTAATAAAATAATAAACAAATAGTTGCATTCATTCATTAATTTTCTGTGGGTTTGAATATTTATTGTTCTCTAACACAGAGGTTCTCAAACTAGRGTCCCAGGACCCCCAGGGGTCCGTGTGTCGTGTCTTGGGGGTCCTCAAAAATTTTCAGGAAATTGTTAATTTGGTTTTTAATTCAAAAAAATGCATATGGGGAACAATGCACTAGWAAAACAAACATACTAAACCAAACAAAAGTACTATTACCATGGCATTTAGGGGTTAAAATAACAGTAATTTTTTTTTGCATTAACATCATGGGGTTTATTAAGGGGGGGTCTCTGGATTTTTTCACCATTGTAAGGGGTCCCCAGACCCCAAACGTTTGAGAACCCCTGCTCTAACCTCATTCCTAACCCCTTACCCCAAATGATCCGGTCAGGCTGTTTGTCCCAGAGCCCTACAGAGAAAAAAAAAAAAACTACTCTACTCTGGTCTCTGGTTTGTCCAGTTGATCTTCATCCTGCTATAATGAGCTCCTCCATGTTTTTCTCTCCTGAGCTGGCCATCATCATGACCTCCTGACATCAGATCTGATCACTTCTCGCCATGAGTGCTGCTGCGTTGTCTGTAGTGGTGGTGGTTGTTTTCTTCCTGGCCCTGTACCTCCTCCACCGCTATGGGGATTTGTGGAAGCAGCAGCGGATGGTCTTGTTGGGGACACTTCTGTCCTGGTACCTCTGCTTCCTCATCGTGTTCATCTTGCCACTTGACGTCAGCACGGTATGAGAAACCAGTTTATTACTTTCTGAATGTTTGTAAACTGCTGCCTAACTGGGGTTAAGCAGTGGGTTCATTACTGTTATTCTTGTTGTATTATTTCACTGTGTGTGTTTATCTGATGGTAATAACTTTGCTCTTTCCTTAGACTGTTTACAATCAGTGCATTCATGATACTTCAAACCAGACTGCTTTTTCTGAAGATGGACAAACTGATCAGGCTAATTCCTCACCACTAAGGTGAATAAGAATGTGTGTTATTTGAAGGTGATGCACTGGTTGCTTTCTGAGCATATCAGTAGTACATTTAAACGTTATATATGCACTTCATATAAATGAATAATGTTAAATATTTTATCTGGATTATGGCTTTTTACTAACTATTTCATGTTTTATCCTGTATTTATAAAAATTMTGTGATAATAGTGAGGTTTGTTTATCAGTAAGCTTGAAGAAGTGAACCTCAAACCACAAAAGTTCATGACTATGATCATACTTTTATCGCTCCAAATGATGACACCCAAAGCAAAACTGTGAAAACATTTAAAGAGTAACTTACCCCAAAATTAACTTTTTTTTAGCTGATAACTGTCTAGAATGTGTCTAAACTGTTATACAGTACTGTTTCTGTGCTAATTTTGATGTTTTTGTGCGTATTTGTTCAAATCTGTAATATTTGGTCTAAAAACGTGTTTTTGCTGCTCATATGGGTAGAGCAGTGGTACTGCAGGCTAATTTGCATATTGGTTAAGGGCTCTCCATGGTGACGTGTCTTCTCCACGGTTTCGTCACAGCGGCTGTGTTCTGGTATAAAAGCCTCTCTCTAAGGCTACGTTCACAC